AAAATGGTTTCCGCTGATTATCTTGAAAAGTATTCATCACAAAGTCTTCATATTTCACATAGTGATTGGTCATCACTAGTAGATGACCCCTACTGATTTTGGGGTCACTAGGTCAAAGGTCAAGGTCACAGGGGCCTTAAATGTCAAAAGGGTTTTGGCTGATTATCTTGAAAAGTATTCATCACAAAGTCTTCATATTTCACCTAGTTATTGGTCATAAGTATTAGATGACCTCTATTGATTTAGGGGTCATTAGGTCAAAGGTCAATGTCACATGGGCCTTAAATGTCAAAATGGTTTCCGTTGATTTTTCCATAATTGAACACTTCCATGTACCCATTTTTGGCAAGTTTCTTTAATAAAATTACCAATTATGTGAGTCAATGGCTAGAAAGGGGGTATATGTGTCGTTCAACATTCTTGTTAGTTATAACATTTAATACTTTCATTGTACGAACTAATTGTGTACAAGTCTTTTACGTGGACTTCAGTAAAGAGGAGGATATAGGGGGTCAATGCTGCTTGATATTGACATTCTCAAATTGTTGACTGAATTTTCTGAAATATCTTATTACAACCGGTTCAAAAGGACTGGAAGCATACCACATTTATCAAACTGCCAGTCGAGATCTGTGAGTCATAAATGGCTGTACTCATGGACATGCAGTGGACATATATAGTACCACTACTTACTGTCATCACTTACAATAGCTCGTTGTCTCTATTTCGCTGCCTTTTCGCATATCTGACATGAATACTTTGGTCTTTGAGTCCTGTGCAGAATGTACGAAGCAAGTGCAAAGTGAATATACCTCTGTCTTACTGTTGTAACCATCAATGAAAGGAAATACGGCTTTTTTGAAATGACTTATAAGCCACATAAGCTCATTATTCACACACAATTTTTTTCTTTGTGTTTATATCTATTGTGATTTTAAGCTTCCTGAATTCACGTAACTAAAGTACAGTTTAAATAAAAAAGTCATGTTACAAGGTGTTTAATTTCTACTACTTAAGACTTTAAAGCTTATTTTATCAAAGACAGTTTAGGTAGATAACATTTAAACTGAGATTCATGTTGTGCAGACAAATTTGTTCCAAGTAACCCGATCCGTTTCAGTGTTTTACTAAAGTCAGAAATTAAGCAAACACATTTCTGGTTAATTTATTGTGGCGGTGTTAATAGTTTTCACTCTGAATCACGAATGTAAGCCAAGAGCACAGTTCCTTGGCAGGCTATCAAGCAGTTTACCAGTACTAGCTGCTTTCACTTTCGCAGGAACTGAAACTTCTGTACATGCCAGAGCAGAGGTACAGTGTGAATGACCGTAGAAAGAATTTCATGATCAATCACAACGAAAGTAGTCCGGAAATCGAACCCCAGCTCACCAGATTCACAGTCCAACGCTCTACCTACTGAGCTAAGGCCATAGCCCACAAGACTGTACTGAGCAACTATGAAAAAAAAAAGGTCACAGGGTGAAAAATCATGATCCAGATCTCAATATTCAATAAGAACCTTTTTTATTATTATTGAATTACTCCTTGATGAATTTAGTTAAAGTCTATCCATTTGTGTTCATTTCCATCTACTTGTTATGCTGCTAGGTATGTCCTTAATGATGATTTAACAGATAAGCCACATTGCCCAAGTAAAAGATGCCAACAGTATATATAAATCAGCACCTTAAACAAAGGAATATATCACTTTTCTGTTGTTATAAAAGTTCTTAAAGCCCTTTTCCATCCACTTCAATCAACTTGTAAATCCTTGGTTTGTTGTCTCAATCTACAAAACCTATTGATACATGAAAAGTAAGTTAGGATAGAAAATTATAGACTTGAAATTTCTATTTAAAAAACAACAAATTTTCCTCTGCTTTTACAAGGGCTTGGAACCTTCTTGTGCAGCTGTTTTTGTCTCATTAGTTTTTAAACATCTTTACCAAATGGGACTGAAAAAGTGCCACAAGGCAGCATTTAAATTTGGTTGTTTTTTTTTTCTTTGATGATCATTTGTCTAAACGAATAAGTGACGAATTTTGAAGAATTGGGGTATGTAAGGTATGCCTGCCATAATGGCAGCTGTTGATAGTTTAATTTCTTTTCTTTTGTCTTCTTTCTTCATCCATTTGTTGTTTTATGATTTTCCTCCATTCTTCAAAAGTGATGTTTTCTGAATTTTTGGCAATATATTTTAAACATGTAAGTTTTATGGGTTGTTGAATTTTTTCTATTTTGTCCACATTTGCTGCAATTGACAAAAGTTGGAGTCTTGTATGGTCTAGTTTTTCTTGAAGTAATTGAAGTTGTTGGAATAGGTGATGTTGTTGTTGATGTTGTTGTTAATGGAGGACTATTGCAGTTTGTTGTCCTGGAAGAATAATTATTTGTTGCTGCTCCATTATTGACAGGATATGTTATGACGGTTTGCTTCTGGTGTTTGATTTACTGAAAGTTTGGTAATCTGACTTCCTCTTTCGGTGATCCTCTTGTGTGCCAGTCCAGCAGTGCATGGATTATCCTTGAATTTGTATGTTGGAGCCTGATTGGAAGGCAGTGCTGCTGGTTTCTGACGGGCCTCTGGCAAGTCACTTCCGGTCAAAGCTGGCTTTGGCATATTAATTCCCTGCAAGAGGACCTTCTGTTCATGTTCTTTGTCTGCCTTGTTGTACCTGAAATACAAATGCACAAATACATACTGTTAAAATGTGCTGAAAAATTGCCTCAAGACATTTGGAAAAACATAAAATTGATAAAAATCTAGATGTCAACCCTTGATTAAACAAAGTACTTTAATATTATAAGGAGAGTGAATCCGATTGCTCACTCGTAGAAGCTTGAACAAAGCAGCAAACAAGTTTCAGTGAAATTCTGGAGAAAAATTAAGTATATTTAACCTGGCTCGGCTTTCATGGAAGAGTCTTTACTTTACTAAAATTAATCTAAAGATAGTTACCTCAGAAACATGTACAAAAAGGGAAGTTGAATAGCAGTAATCAGAACCAGATACAATACTAATATTCAATTTCAAAAGTAAAAGACTATCAAATGGCAAATGAGTTTAACTTATAAATAACATCTATTAGTAAAAATTCATCTTTTTCACATTTTCCCTGTTTGTTTTCAGTGTTGACAGATCAGGGGTACATGGAACTTTTTATTGAAATATATAATAGCTTCTTAGCCATTGTTGTAGTGTCTTCTTGTTCAGCAAAGGCAGCTGTATTTCTGGGTTCTCTGCATGGCCTGCTGTGATTTTTAAAAATGACCTGCCTGACTGTTATGAAAGCCCCTGAGGACAAGACGCCATCTGGTCCACACAGTCCCCTCACACTTCCTGGTCCCCAGGATACAGCTTCATCAGAAGTTCACAAGTGGCCCTCTGTGTATCCTATTACAGTTTCGGCCACTTTGTGCTGGGCCTTGGTTAGGTCCAAGGAGAAACTCTAAAAGGGAGCAGAAAAAACAGATAAACTGTTTTATTAAAACAAGCCAATGAAGTACAACTTATTTTTGGGAAACAAAAACATAACATTGTAATTTTTAAAAAAAACTTTTTTTTGTTTTTAAAAAAAAATTAAAAAAATTTTTTTAAAAAATAAAAAAAAGGGGAAAAGGTTTTTTTTAAATAGTGTGCATTTTTCAGTCATAAATTAAATTTAAATTTAGTTTTTTAAATGGAAATACAAAAAAATTTTAAAAGTTTTTAAATTGGGTTAAAAAAGGGTTTTAAAATATTTATTTTTGGTTTATGCTTTCAAACCCCTTTGGGTGCATTTTTTCCCCTGGGCCCCACCCAAATTTTCCCTGACCAGGGGTTTTTTTTGTGAACCTCTTTGGAAAAAACTTTTCCTTTTTTTCTTGAAAAGTCAGAAAAAACTGTTTCCCAAAGGTAGGTAAGGCGTTCTAACCTTGGGTCAAAAACTAAGAAACTTTCTTATATCTCTAAGTTCAACAAGGAACTCAGGCAAGGTTAAGGGCCAACCTTATTTCATTACCTGGAACATTGTCTGCCCCAAGGACCCTGGAATACAAGATATTTTATGTCATTATTACATCAAATATTATAAGGAGCTGCAAATCCTATTACAGTATAAAGATTTGAAGACTGTTATGGATTAAAAGAACTTTGAGTGACCAAAAAATTGAATAATTTATGTAGTTATCTGAAACCATTTCCTTAGAAACAACAGGCTACAAATCTTGTAAACCATAGTTTTTATTGATCTGGAAAAAAAGTTTATGAAATCCTGGCATCAGCAACCATAAAAATAAAAAAACAACACATTATACTCAGAAAAATGTTAAAAGATGCAACATAATTTATAACTTTCTATTTTCAAATAAATTACAAACCTTGTGATAAGCATGTCTCCTATCATTATTGCAGACAGAAACAATAAAGAGAAACCCATATTAACAAAATAAATGAACACTTACATGACTGCTCTGATCTGCGGGCTGGAATCTTCCAAAAGATGGATTACATATCGCGAACTGGAAACTGGCAGGATTGAACTTTTCTTTTAGTGGTTCCATACCTGTATAGGAGATTATTGTGTTTAATTATCTTTTCAAGTAAAAGCAACCACTAAGACAGGGACATGTAGCTATGAACTCTGAACAGTATTCAATTGATTATGTGCTCAAGAGGTCATTCAATAAAATAGCAGCATTTCGTCAAAAAGTTTAATTGGCTTTCAGTTTGCCAATACTGAATCCAAGAGATGGAATTAAAAAAAAATAACTAAAAAAAAAACAACATTTACAATAAAACCAATAATATTTTTTTTGAGGACAAATTACCTTGGATAGCAGTTTCCATTGCTAAACTGGTGAATAATCAGCCTCACTAGGAATGTGAAGATGGCTTTGTGCTTTCTGAGGGAGGTATTTAAACAGGCTCTTCTGGGGAAGATTTCAGGATTTTTCCGTTCCATCTCTATGAACCCTTCATCCTCAACACTGTCTCCCTCCTCTTGTCCATTTATTATTCCTCATCCTTCTCTAATTGTTCCCTTTGTAGAGCTTAAACTTGCATTTGTTTGCCAGTTTGGTCGTATAAATACTGCAGCTCCAACTAGTTCACCTTTAAATATACACAGAAAACACATACTTAGAGCTGTAAAAGATAATGTTTATCCAGCATGTTAAATGATTTTGCTCTTTCATCTAATAAATCTTGTTTTCTAGAAAACAATAGACAGTACAGCTTTTTATTTGAGTAAACATTGATATATAAGCCTGATGATCTTTTCATTTGAATCAAGATGGAAGGCAACAAAAGGGTTTAAACTTTTTTTAATGTTGCTTTTTTGGGATTTACAAACAGAACTAAAATAAAAAAAATGGGGCAGCTTTAAAAAACCAGTATTACAGCTAAGCCCCCGGGGAAAACTTTAAAAAACCCAAATACTGAAAACTGGTAAAAATTTAAAAAATGTGCCCCTTGGGGTATGTTTAAAAAATTTCCCTTTTTTATTTTTTTAAAACACACTTTAGATATCAATTAAATTTATTCATACATTAAACCCGGGATACCCTTTTCTGGAAAGGGTTTAAAAATTTTGGGAAGAATTTGGGTTTTCCCCCCAAAAATTCCTGCCGAGGCACTTTTGTCTGGGGGCCCTTTAGGAACCGGGGGGGATGTCCCCGGGGAAAATCGTTGTTTTTTGACTTTAACTAGCGATGCCTCTGAAGCCCCATCTGTATTCCATCTAAAAATGCCATCCAAAAAGGTTTAAAACTTTTTAAAGTTTGTGGGGCCTTTGGGAAGCGTTCCTGAAATAATTATGTAAAAAGATTTTTTTTAGTAACTCCATTTCCCCCCTCTAGTAAAAAAAAAAACAAAGTTTAATTCCCCTGGAGGTCAGATTTTTAAAGTTTGGTTTTTAAAAACTTTTATTGGGGTTTTTTTAAAAAAAAAAATGCATTTTTTCTACAGTGTAATTCCTGGAAAAATATTTAAACCCAAAAGGGCAAATTTTTTATATTGACAAAAAAGAAAAAAAACTGTAAAATCAAAATTTTTTACCTGGGAAAAGGGCCTGGCCATGTGTAGATGGAAATTTTCAAGAGAAAATTGACCCCCCTGGGACATTTTTACACTGGCAACTCTATAACCCCCTTTTTTTTAATAGTCGATACTTTTTATGTTAAAATCTGACACCTGGAGGGGCCGGGGGCAAAGGGAAAAAATGTTGGCTTTTGCTTGGCCCCGATTCAGACATCTTTATTGTAAACCTATCAGGGGTACACCGCTCGTGTCAACTTTCCCATATTTAAAAAAGGGAAAAATTACTTTTGGGTACAAAAAAGAATCTGAAAAAGCCAAATATTATAAACAAAGTGACCCTTCCAAAAAATTTTTCCTTTTAATTAACCCTTTGTGGGCTGATTTTTTTATAAATAGCCTGTTACCCGTATGCATTAATGGAAACCTACTCCATTTATTTTTTTTGCACTCCCGGGGCCCAAATCCATACTGTGTGGTAAACTCCCCAGCCTTTAAATCTACAAATAGTCCAAAGATTTGTTCCCATATAAACTAAAGAAGTCTACACTGCACCTAAACCATTTACAAATGACATCCTTTATTGGGGCAAAAGGGCTTCCTTTCAAGTAGACATTTTAAATGTCTGAAAACCTATTCTTTAAAATTTTATTTTACCCCAAGTTAAAATATATGCTGGTTATTTATGCAAAATGTGGTTTTAGGGAAATTTGATTCTTGATTTTAAACTACCCCTGGGAATTTTTATAAATTTTTAGGTTTGGGTGCACCATCTACTCACCCTTTTTTCAACAATTCTAAAATCATTTTTAAATTTTTAAAAAATTTCTTGAAATTTTCCTTTTTTGCCTCCATTGACATGTTTAGGTTCAGTTATGAGACTTTTTGTCTCCTTGGGGCCCCTATAAACCGCTTGCGTGGCGGCCTATTTTATCAAAATGTTAGCGCTGGAAATACACATTTTTTCTGTTGGACTTGGGACACCCTGTTGAACAAGTTCTTGTCTCTTGGCCTTCATCAGAAGTGTATAGTCATGTTCATCAACCTTGAAGATATACAACGACTTAGCCTTGCCATGAAGGGACCGTAAAGTTGGTGTTTGTCGGTTGTGCAGCCATTCGGAAAGCGTTCGCATAAAGTGCCAGGAGTCAAGTCTTGAAATATCGAAAGAAAAACCAGAAAATATTACAATAAAGACTAAGAAAATTGTTACTCCCATGTTAAACCACAGTTCTTTATCACTTAGAATAATATAAAATATTGTAATAGAGTACACACCTTATATTTCGAGAAAAGGCCAGTCATCAAAGTTATTTCTTTATACATTGCCTTCCACAGCAATCTCTATCTGTATACATCACTTTAGGTGGAGGCGTGCCAGCATTCCCTGTACCTAAGGGTAATGCCTTTGACATTTTCTTTAACCCTTCGCCCTCACCTTCAGTGAAGTACTGACATGAGGACCTGGCCATGTTCATTACCAACATTTGTGGCCCACATCGCTGTACCTCTGCTGAAACCTAAAATGTAGAATTCATTTATCTTGACTGTGTAACAAAGTAATCATTAAATTCTTGAGTAATTTAATAATATTTAAAGCTTGTATTAATAACTGATTTTCAAAATATTTCGCATTATCTTGGTTTTATTAAATATACTTGAGTGCAACCTTTGGACTCATTACAATGGATGGCATGAAGGATGTGGTTAATGCATGACCACACTGGACTTAAGACATCAGTAGGTTTGAACCCTGCTAAGGCAGGAAATGTTATCGTCACCGCTTAGTACTGATTACGTCTAGGAATGGACCAAACTACAATCAAACTTTTTAACAAGCACCTGCAAATAAATACCAACTGAGAATAAAGACCAAGTTTCTTTTCCAAAATTACATATTCTAAGAATAAATTTACCTGTCTACCTTTAGGGACTATTGTCGGTGTTTTTCCCATTATGGTTTTTGCAAACAGGTTGGGCTGTGAAATTCATTCAAACTGATGTCTAATATAAGTTACAAATTTAATAGAAACGAAGTATAAATCACATACTAAAATTATGAGTAGCATTACAAATGTTTATCTATAGCTTACCTGCAAGCTTATTTGTTACTTTCTTGGTGGAGTCAATTTTAAGAATATCTCCTGTAATGGATGTCAACTCAGCCAATTGATAGTCCAGTCTAGAGATGACATCCAGAAGATATACTTTCATAAACCAGCGATGCCTGGGGATGTTCATCACTGGTGGTGGCTCTGCAAAGTTTGGGATGGTCACTAAGCCTTTGGCTGCAGATTTCTGGAAGGCCATATAATTGGTTGCATACTGGCGGCACTTATCTAAGTAGTTCTCGCCATGATTTTCAGCAATCTGTGGAAAATCAGCATAAGTAATCGGCATCTTAATTAAAATAAACTTTCAATCATAAAATGTTTATCATATTTACACATCCTCTTGGTGTTGAACAATGTTACCAGTTTATAAGTATACATCAAATAATTCAAAAACAAAATTATAACTTAAATCAGCAAGAAGATATGAAAGTTCACAAGTTGTAACATGCATATGTACCTGCTTGCACACTAGACTACTGCTGTTACCAAGTGTCCTCTGTCTCATCATTCTTACAACATTGAGATCACATGCATACCTGTCTGTCAGGATACATGGAAACTTACTTCGCTCTGTTGAGTCTAACTGCCCTAAAATACTATGGCTCCAACTGATAATCTGTAATAAACATTGTACCATAATGTACCTGGTGCTCAAGCAAGGTATCAGGTATGTCAAGCTCACTGGCAATGAATCTGACAAAAACAGTGTTTAAGACTAGAAGTTCTTTTGAGAATGAACATAATTTAATCTGCCTTAGTCTAACACACATTTTATTTCATTTGAAAATACAAAAATGAGGCATTTAACTGCACAATACAAACTGACATGTTGCAAACTTACATTACGAATAACATTAATGTTGAGAATAGGTGGAAGTTAAGTATATTTCTTTTCAAAAGTAATCTGTTATCATCTATATTCCATGATTATGAATTATTCTTTGATTATTTTAGTAGCTGTAGTTCAACTGACCCTTCTCTTGCACTTGCTGCATTCATAATCTTCTCCTGCTATAATATATTAGTCTTTCATATCAAGTACCATCCTAGTTTTTTGATGAACTCCATTGTTCACCAAGGTTCCCTGACATCCAGAGTGGGGGCAGACAAAATGGTACTGGAATAAATGTCTCGGCATCCAAAGAAATAGCCGGTGCCCAAAGAAACAGTCCTGTTTGTTCAGTACACCTGTGGTACAAGTACATGTATAATAGGAACCAGTTCAGTAAATAACTATCTGCAAAACATAGCTCTCATTTTTATTACAAACTGTAAAACATCTCCTGAAACTGGAAAGAACAATAACTGACTAGCCCTGAAAAATACTTAACACAGTCCAATTAAGACAATTCCATACATAATCTTTGACCTTTGAGAATAATGAATAAATAATTGATTACCTCTGGACAAACTAGGCTGAGGAGGTTCATACCACAGCTTGGTCACTCTGCTGAAATCAAACTGTGGCCCTCTGGTTGCATAGTGGAAAAATGTCTTTGAGATCCAGCCTTGGTCAACGACAGGAAGTGTTTTCTTCCACTTTTTGGTCAAAGGTATATCATCATCTAAAATCAGAGAAATTGAATAACTTGCAAAACATGTTAATATCTCAATTTTAACAAACAGTTCCACACAGTGTTCACCCAATCAGAATAAAATATATAAACAATTTGAAGGTAATGGCTACAATTAAACTTAATTTGAACTGAACTTGTATGGCTCAGGATTCTCTTCAGTATTTTAATATGAAATACAACATAACTTGATTGTACAGTCAACACTGTGCTAACAAAAGCTTGACAAAAGACTTAATTTAACTTTAAGTAAAAATTTTATATCTTAACACTTATACCTATTTGAAAGACATTGCTTTAATTTTAAAGTTGTCTTGTCCTGAACTGGAGGCCCCTGCACTTGTTTTGGAATTCGTGGAGTATTCCCGAGTTGATCCAAGGGGATCCTGAGGAGACATCTACCTGGGAAACAACCACCTGCCTAGTTTCAACCTGGGGCTAAAACCAGTAACAAAGCAAATTGCTTGCAAATTAATTCATGCAATACCAGGAGTACATTGGTGCAAACAGTAGGTAATAATATACCAATGTTATCACCACAAAATAAATTTGTATTTCTGTCTTACCAAATTAAGTAAATGAGTGAAACAAAATATTTCCTTTTTATTTAACTTTATTATGGAATATCTTGATATGTTAATATGTAAAACAGACATAAATTAATTAGTATGAGTATGAGAAACTATAACAAACTATACATGTTAGGAAGTCTGTATGTGTGAGAAAGTCACTAAAGAACAAAAAAAGGCATGGTGTATATGTTAAGGCAGTACAATGTGTAAAAAATAAAGGCAAAATCAATTAATAAATGCTTGCAGTATACATGTATCTTCACTTAACACCTCTTGCAGATTTTTACAATAAACACAAAAGACACTTACACTAATTAGAAAAAAAAACCCAAACCACTACATGCATTTTACTCCTTTTTATGAATAAGCTGAAGTTGGACAAATGGTGAACCTAAAACTTAACAATGCCATTATTTGTAACACTTTGCAAATAAATGTCAAAAATTTCTCACTGCTTTGAATTTTTTTTTTATTTATTTATTTTTTTTATTGGGTTTTATGTCACACCGACACAGTATAGGTCAAATGGCATCGTTCCAGCTTTACTGGTGGAGGAAGACCTCAGGTGCCCTTCCGTGCATTATTTCAGGCACGAACGGGCACCATTAGTAGAACCACCGAAGTTCCGTAAGCTAGCTGGATAGCTTCCTCAAATGAAAGAATCCAAAGTCTCTGTCGGGATTCGAACTCACAAGTGGTTTGAAGTCAACGACCATAACCACTCGGCCACAGACGCCCCGGCTTTGAATTTAAAGATGGCAGTTAATTTACAACAATATTCATAAGAACATTGCATACACAGTACTATAAAATAACTTTTGATAACATTTGTCCAAATTCATATCAAATGAATTCATCACATAAGTATTGTTAAAACTAAATCTATAAATTTTTCTCTATCTATCTCTCTCTATATATAATGTGAAGTGAAAAAATATAATTTTATATTACACAGTAAATATTAGCCATATCTCTGCATATCAGCCATTCCTATGGGTATCTGGTATTAGAAATTTGCTCTGGGTCTTGTTATTTAATAATATCATATAATGAACTGTCAGGTGTGCATAATCATACATCAATTTTGATGTCCAAATTTAGATCAGCATTGCCACATTCTTTTGTTTTCAATGGCATTGTGCATAAAATTGAAAATCTGTTATGTTCTTCAGTGAATATCAAATCTATCTTACTTTTAAAGAGAAAACTTTACATTTGAAATTATCTCAATTCTTAATTAATTGAATCCCATATTCATTCAGTTCAATCAAATATCTTTTATATATCATAACTATTAGTACTATTATTTTCACAACAAACATTTTGGATAGTAGATCAGTAGGCGAAAGCAGGACAATCTGTGGAATCACAAATACACATTTTAAGCAAGAAAGAAAGCACTAGGTAGTGAATATGGCAATATAAGTATCCTACAAGACAACAGAAAGACTCACAGGTACTTTAAAAAGTCTAGAGTAAATGTGACAAACCACCATATCAATACATCTAATTTAACAGATGTGGTAACAATGTTTACACTGGACATACAGCATGTAATATGACATAATAATATTGTCAAATTCTTATTTTAAGTGACTAGCCATCATTAGTAAATTCTTAATTCACTGATGCCATTATTTATCCAGTGAGAAAAACTGGTACCACAGTTGAGACAGTAACCCATTCTCATCCTTTCAAGAAGTCTTGGAATATCATTAATTTATTTTCATTTTTGACACAAAATTTTAATCATTAACACAAGCATATATTTGTGTGCATTACAGCAGTCAAATTGTGTCTCTTTCCTTAATACTTGTTGAAATTCTGAGAATGGGCTTGTCTGATACTTACCTAAATCTTACCCAAAAATAAAAAGATACTATGTTTCCACTAACATACTCCAGAAAATTGTGTTTTTTTTTATAGTTACTTAATATATAATTATAATGGAAACAAATGATTGTTTTGCATAAATCAGAATAAGTTGCAACACAATATGCCTAATACATGCATTGCTTTCACTGTTTCATAAAAAAAAGGTTTAAGGTTAAAAATAAAAATCTGGTCTTCTATTTGGTGGAAACAAGTGACTTTTTAATTTCCTCCTAAAAAGGATGGCCTGAAATGAATATATGCTTTATAATATTAATATATCTATTCATACATGTACATATACACACCAATTTTGCTTATGACCAAGCATAGTGATTCAACAATGGCTACTTGGCAACAATATGCACATTGTCTTTG